ATGAGAATATTTAATAATACTGTGTAAATTCATTACCACAATATGTGTAAAATTACATCAAAATATTTAAGATCATAGAGCCTGCTGATTTTGAGCTATTGAGATGCAATTTTCACATATATTGTAGATAAATGACCCTGTCTCCTTTTGAACACTGGTCGAAAACGGAGAGCGAGTTTTAGGAAATTTTTACATCAGCGGATAGAGAATTGTTAGTTCCATCTTCATATTCAATAGCACGCTTATCCAATTAAAAACGCCTTAGAAATACGCAAAATACTAAGAAACTTTGTGCAAGTGGCCGAAATTACCCCATCTGACTCTAAACAATGTAAAAGAAGGAAAATGATTCTTTTTTCATTAACTTCTTTACCAACAGAAAATAACTTTGAAAACCATTAGAAGGGATGATTTTTTCTTTTATTTAGTTTTTAATCGAAAAAATATGAACATCTGTTTGTCTGAAGTACCCTTTTTTATAAGATTCTTTCTAAATCTGTTCTATATTCATAATAAAAAACAAATTTTACTATTTCAAGTGAATGATTGATATATTTATATACGAAAGAAATAGATAAAAATTGTATTCTTCTATGTTTTGTTTTTTATTAATACGGACATAAAAAGGTCTATATAAATAATGATTTTTGCTTATTTGTAGACAATTTTTATCTGACAATGGCTGATAGTAGTAATCATACTAAACAGAATGGTGACGCTGAAGATGGAAAAATACTAACAATGGCAAATATAAATCCGAATGTTATTAATGTTCAATATGCTGTTAGAGGTCCCATTGTGATTCGTGCAGCAGAAGTTGAAAAAGAATTGAAAGGGGTAGTTTATTCGTACCAATAAAAAAAAAAAATACTATTCTGCTACTTCTAGGTACTATGCTTAGTTTGTGAATCCTCTATATAATTTACTCAAAAGATCGATAAAAAAAAAGTAAACAAAAAAATTTTAACTAGTGTAATTTGATTAGAAATATTGTGATTCACGTTAATTTATTTCTAGTTTTAAGAAGTGTAGATTTCTTTCTATTTAATATTAATTTAACTAAATGTATGCGACGTTTTCTTTTCGTTTTTTATTGTAGGGAAATCACAATTATCCATTTGATCAAGTTATTCGAGCAAATATTGGCGATTGTCATGCAAGTGGAAATCAAGTACCTGTGACGTATCTAAGACAAGTGAGTATTTTGAATCTTTCTATGAAACAAAAACTATATTTTTATGTAAGAAAATATCTAATTTTTCGATATTATTGTCAAAACAGTTTTTAATTATTAACTCTTGAGTCATTTTTATTCTAGTTTGTTGCTGGATGTACATATCCTCCTATCATGAACCATTCTGATTTTCCATCTGATATCAAATTACGTGTTGATCGATTTTTATCCTATTGTGGTGGAAAAAGTCTTGGCTCCTATACGGAAAGTCCCGGTTTAGTACCTGTAAGACAAGATATTAGCGAATATATTGAGAAACGTGATGGTCATAAATCGGATCCAAATGATATTTATTTATGTAATGGTGCAAGTGATGGAATTAAAACAGTGATTAAATTATTAATGAATAATGATGTAAATAGACCAAGTGGTATAATGATACCTATTCCTCAATATCCATTGTATTCCGCAACATTGTCAGAATATGGAGCATATCAAATTGGATATTATTTAGATGAAGATAATAATTGGGCATTAGGTATTGACGAATTAGAACGAGCATTAAACGAAGCAAAAGAACATTGTATACCGAGAGGAATTGTTGTCATTAATCCTGGAAATCCGACTGGTATGAAGAAAACTAAAGATATTGATGTTTTTAATTGAATTGTTTCTCTTAGGTCAAGTGTTAACACGTGAAAATATCGAAAATATTATTCAATTTGCTCATAAACATCGTTTATTTTTAATTGCCGATGAAGTCTATCAAGAAAATGTTTATTTAGCTGGGTCAAAATTTTATTCATTTAAAAAAGTATTAATGGATTTAGGTGCACCATATAATCAAATGGAGTTGGCATCATTTCATTCAGCATCCAAAGGATGGCATGGAGAATGTGGATCAAGAGGTGGATATTATGAATTAATAAATATTGATAAAGATGTACGTACACAACACAATAAATTGATATCAGCTTGTTTATGTTCTACGGCATGGGGACAAGCGATTATGGATGCAATTATTAGTCCACCTAAAGAAGGTGACGAATCGTATGAATTATATATGAAAGAGCGTACGGCCGTTGTTAATCGTTTAAAAGAAAAAGCAGATTTAGTTAGTGATTTATTTAATTCGGTTGAAGGTGTACGCTGTAATACTGTGATGGGGTAAGTCAATCGGTCTTTGTACTATTGTGTATCAGAATCTTATGAGGTTATCTTTTTAGCGCTATGTATGCATTTCCACGTATCGACATACCACAAAAAGCACAAGAACAAGCTAAACGTCAAAATATGGCACCAGATGCATTTTATTGTTTTCAATTATTAGAAAAAACTGGCATATGTGTCGTACCTGGTAGTGGATTTAAACAACGTCCTGGTACTCATCACTTTCGCACAACTATTTTACCACCCGTAGAACAAATGAAACAAGTCGTTGATAAATTTAGAACATTTCACATGTCATTTTTAAGAGAATGGAAATAGATCTACAACAACCATTTATACTAGATTTAGTTACATCCGCTTTTTATATGTATACCGTCATTATTTTGGATTAGGATTGAGCATGTAAGTATTCGAATGCAGGTAGATCGTTTTTCACAATACCTTGTCCTTTAGTCTTCCTTTTTTTTGTTGTTGTAAAAATACGCGAACGACAGACAAAGAAGTGTTTTGTTTTTAGTAAACCGTTGTTTTGATGTTGAATTTTTTTTTCCTTTGTCACTAGAGACAAAAAGACTCAATCTACTAATCTGTCCTTTCAATGTGGCCGGCAGCTGTGCAATACACTTTTTTAAACTTCTACATTATTTGATACTCTCACTTGGTGACTTATATATAACCGTAGCCACTAGTTTTTTGTGTTCATGGATGTTGTTTGTTCAATCACAATACTAAAAAGTTTTTTTTTCAAGTATCAAACATGATCACTTGGTTAATTATCATTTTAATGATTTTTCTAGAAGTAAAACTAAATAATAGGTTTTAGCATAAAATTAACAAATATCATTACTGATAAAAGGTTTTGATGTCAATGAATGTTCAGTTGCCTTGCGAATACCTGCAATAAGGTGAGGTTTTCCAAACGGTGAGACCAGTATTGACGTATATGTTTCCAGATTTAACTCATTTTTTATACGATTTAGGGCATGACACTTGAGTGCAACCTAAAAATATTTCAGTCTAAATTCTGTTGCCACCTGAGTGACATGCCATTTCAAGATAATAATCAACATCAAAAATCGATACTTTCTGTTTTCTTTGCAAGTATAAAGACCCGAAAAAAATATATCAAGTCAAATCAAACATCTAGGTTCATTTTTGGCTGTTTTTATTCAACTGAAGATTTTCGTATAACAAAAATGTCATTTTTAGAATCTACATATAAAAATGAATTAAAAGTTAACATTTCGACCAACAGAATCGATCCTAGAGGTCGCCCATACTCATTTTCTGATTCTCCATAGTCGAATACTTCTACTATGAAAGTTTTATGGCTGTATGACACCACATACAACAAACACATATAGCCATTTTATTTGTCGCTTTGTGCGGCTGCAGACATACGCACAAACAAGCATACAGGCATTTTAACTCGATAATACCCTTTCCTTTACAGTAAAGGGAATATAATTCGAACAAAGTTGAAGCAGATTAATGAATTGAATGATAAAGTTGCAGTATTTATATTACACTTCTATTATTCTTCTACTGACGCTGAACAATCAACAAAACATCATAAAGGTATATATATTAGTGGTATATATTTGGAAAAATGGGGAGAGATTCTAATATAATGAACGTCACTGCCGCCGCCGGCAAAAATAGATGATATTTTGGTTAGTGATAGGCCAACAGATGTTCAAACAATGTTCAACATTCAACAAAATATGGATGGCCGTTTACGGTGAATACATTTTACCAGAACTATCATGAACTACTATGTTTTCATCACGGAGATCATAAATGGGCTGTTGTATGGTGTAAATGTCAATCAAATCAGTATTTTTATACTGTCGTATTTTTGGTTGATGAAGGTTGCCCAATGACATTTTTATTACAAGTCGAACGAACTGCATTAGGATTAGATGAGAATAATGCACTCGTTTGGCAAGATGAGTACAAAACTGGAAATGTCTGGAAATATGAAAAATTTGGTGCTGATATGGGTTGCGTCTATTTATATGAAAGTAAATCACAAGTTCATTTATAACGTCATGTTTTCCTCCCATTTTCTCTTGGATCTATTCAGTTGCTGCTTCTCCTCAGCTCTTATGGGAACAAAAAACTGGCGTCACCTATCCACCTATGCTCGTCGTCAATAAACGAATGTTTTAAAATTGTGCGCATCCGGGTATGAAGAATATTAGTTGTCTTGAGAATCGTATTGTATTATCGTATTGACGAAGGCATGACTTTTATATGTACATGTATCGAAAGAATTATACTCCACGTAGGAAACATCTACATATTATAAAAAAAAGTGCTTAGCATCTGTAAGACTTTTGTCACCTTTATACTACCTCAATCATCTTTGCAGGTACTGGCACAAACGAGTTTTGAAGGTTTTAATGGTGGGAGAGCTCACTACAGCTCAGGTAGGGTTGTATTCCACTCACGCGCAGTTCTGTAGAAAAAACTTCTGAGGATGGTCTGAGCTCGAGCAAAAGGAATCTCGACTTTGAGTTTGATGTAGTGTTACGATTCGGTTATGTGTGATGATGCCTAATCTAGAGAGGACGGAGAAACCTCTAAAAATTTTGAAAAAGAGAACGAGTCGGAAATATTTACGTCTCACCGAAAGCAGAGAAACGTTTAATTTGTTCACTAGGTCAGATCCTGCACTATTACAATCCCGTGTGATCATATGTGCCGCTAAGCGTTGAACAGATTCCAGACCGATATTGTTATTGTTATTTGCAAAATCACTATCATATAATGCACATGCATAATCCATTTTACTCAAAATGCAAGTTTTATAGATGTGAAGCTGGATGTGAGCAGATACTTCTTTAAAGTGACGGTACAATCGCTACAAGACAAAGCGAGGTGTTCTACGTACTAAATCCACCTCAAGTTGTAACTTATCTTGAGACCTAACAGGGTTGGATGCATAGCTCGATTCATTAGATTCCTTGATTTAAAGTAAACTGGTAATTGTCAGCTTTTTTTGGACTATTAGAGATAAACATTCAAGAGCATTTCGAGACGTTGAATGACATTAAGTTATCCAAACACCAATTATTCATGTGATCTATGTTAGCCTAGCAGTCGGAGAGCGAATGTGGGACAGAAATAGGACAAATCAACATGCAGTCATCAGCAAAGGGGATAGAATCAGCCGGCAGTGGAACCTTTGACGGTAGTTCGTTAATGAAAATTAAAAATAGAAGGGATTCTAGAACTGAGTCCTGAGGTACTCCAGCAATTACTCGGTAGGATTTAGAGAGTGAAGTGCCCACTCTCACTTGCTCCCTTCGACCACTTAAGTAACTAGAGAGCCATTCAAGAGCACTAGTGGAAAGTCATAAAGAGGACAGTCGATGAAGTAGTATCTAAAATGGTACTCTGTCGAATGATTTTTCTATATCACACAGCAGAATTTGTTTGATTCAGGTTTCCCGTGAGCTTATGCAACAGGTAAGCAAAAGCATATAACGTGGAAGATCTGAGACGAAAACCGAATTGATTATTAGAAAAAAAGCCTGTTGTGAGGATAACTGAAAATTAGTATCGATTTTCTTCTAAGTAGAAGATGCTTTCTACTAGAAATCGAGGGCGATTTCCAAGGAATCTGTTAAAATTCGTCCTTCATCTTTTTTCTATCTGACACAATCGCTTCTCGACGAAAAGCCCTATACCGACATTAATCGGTACCGGTCGTGGAACGTTTGGCAAACATTTTTTATCTGAGTACCGATTCAAGATGAAAAGTGCTATTCTGTTTTGTAGAGAAATGTTGCTACAAGACTGATTCATGAAAAAAAATGTAAAGGATCATTTTGCGGTACCAAAAATGTTATATACAAAAAATGAGAAATTGCCAAAGGCAAATACTGTTGCATGCCTATTCTTGAATATCCGTTCGTAGAATATATTATGTTCAATATATTTATGTTCCACGGCATGGCAGCAAGCGATTATGGATGCAATTATTAATCCACCTCAAGAAGATGATGAATGGATGTAGTTTTCTACAGCTGATTTATTCTCGTACTTTTCAAAAAATTGAACTGCAGGAATTTTAACGAGTTCTGTGGAGAGAAGTCATGTTAATGCTGATAAATATGCCTCACTTTCGAGTCTAGTGTATTTTGACCAAGATTTTTTCTCAAGTTCAACGATTCATCAGATGTCGCTAATAGCAGGCTAATAGACAGTGCATTACTCTATCAAAGGAAAAGACTCTCATCGGATTGCACTGTGAAGAGCTAATTGTTTTCCTGATGTTATTATTCTGTTTCTTATACCACCTTGATCGATTCTATGCATAATTTAATACTTAATCTGTAGTAAATCCTCTTGGTTAATTGTCTTATCGGTTAAGAGAGAACGTTGACGTAAAAATGAACTCGATGTTTTTGTAAAATGATCTAAACAAATCACGTTCTAATTGAAATTTTTCTTCTCCCACTACTAAACATTTGAATTAATGTATTCAAATAAGACAATATTTTCGATAATTTTAGAAAACGTAAACGATTTATATTCGTTTTGATGAATTAATAGGCTTGACGACCCCGCATTCGCATAGAATCAATATGTCTAATTTAGACTAATCGTTCTTTCAGTTATTTTTAATGAGTATTATTTCAGGCTAAAAGAAATTAATCGTACTTGTTTTTTATTAATTAGTCTGATGGCATTATCTGAAAACTATGCACTATTTCTTTTCCTACGTAATTGAGCCGCCTTGTTCAGCTATCTTTTATTTTCAAAAGTACAACCATGCTCGAAACTGTTTAATCATTGTCTTTTGATCGCAGTTAGAACACGAAAGTGTTTCCTAGATTAATGACAAATTACTAGTGTACATTTATTCTATATCTGTAGCGAGAGCCTAAGCCCAACTGTTTCTTTTAAACATAACGGAGATTTTACTTATAGTGATCCTTCGGTATCTGGTTACTTTTCGGAATAAAATTACAATGATTTAGTCGTTGTTTTAAAACAATTATCTTAATTAATGCCTTCTGTTCATCTTGGTAGTAATGTAAGGCAAGCGACCACTGTTGCTAATAGTGCTGTACATATAACTTCAAGAACAGTTGACTATGCGAATCGAGGCCAAATCGAAGTATCGATTGAAGATCACGATGTATTCAAAGTGAGAATTAAAAAGACATATATACAGACTCGAATGGTAATAATGTTTCTCAATTTATGTTTTTAGGCTTTTCACGATTGTATGAAAGATATGAGCAAATTTCGACAATATCTTTATTACATTGGAACATCTTGTGATGCGACAAAATTGCGAAATAAAATTCAAAAATTAAAAGAGCGAGTATTAAAAAGCTTTACACACCAACGAGAATTGATTTTGGAAACTGGAAAAGGAGCAATGTAAGATGACTTGTTTTAAAATGAAGACAAATTTTTTTTCTTGAAAACTAGTGAAGAATCATCTGTTGTTTCTTCGTGGGATGATACTTACTGTCAGTGTGAGATTTAATTGTTTCATGATTGAAATCGTTGTTGTTTTGCTTTCTTACATATAGTTCTAAGAGTGATTTGACAACCAAACGTCTTGAAAAATGTATATGTTTTACATTAGCATCATTGAACTATTACGAAAATCTTTTACATAAATTTACTATATTACTTGTTAATTTTCCACTTGCAAGCGGTACGTATGTGTTTCAATATTCCCTTTTCAAGAAAACGATTCTATCGAAGAGATGAGCATATTCACTCTTGTGAAATATGTGTATTCTAAATCTTTGTTTTGATATAAACATAACACTTTACATTTTTATTGTTCAGATCGTACAAATGTTGTTAATCTCGGATTTGAAGATTCAACAATAAATGCCGAAGATGTATCATATGAGAATGTTGAAGCCGAAGAAAATGAGACAAACCGTTATATTGAATTACTCAAGTAAATTTAAGACTAAGCCTTGATGTTTTGACAAGGTTAGAAGTATAAGCATTTCAATTTATTTCTAGTCAAATTCAACAATTGCATACACTTCGAGAAGATATTGAACAGATTGATGTCCATCAACTTCGTTATCACGCAACATCTTACTCGAAAGAATTTGGTATGTTCATTTTTTCTTAAAATTTCTTCTTTAGTTTGTTCTTATTTATTTCTTTTTATTTTAGTGGAAAACATGCATAAATATAATAATGATGTTACGTTGGATTCATTGGAGGCAAATGGATCATCGCCTGTAAAATGAATGTTGTAGATAAATGTTCGATGTGCTTTTGATGTCATATGATCCAATATGTGAAAATATTGTATTTGCTTATAGTCACGTTATGTTCTTCGTCTTTCTTAATCATACCGTTTAATTACGTAAGGAGGAGTATAAAGATGCTTTTAATAATTCTCAATGACAATGTTGATAGACGTGCTTTACAATAACCTTCATTAGTGAATGAGACTTATTCTATTATTCTTTGATAATATGTGGATTGAAGAACAATCCAGATCGTATTAGAAGAACGAGAGTATATGAACTGTAGAGATTTTTGCTATTTTTTAGCCCAGTTTATGTCGAGGTTGCAATAGACGTAAATGTTTATGTTTGGCTATTGGAGCAACATTGCTTTTAATTGTTGTTGGAATTATTCTTGCTGTGATATTTGCGACAAATTCAAATAACTCATCATCGTCTTCTACAACAACGCCATCTTCAGGCTGAAAATGAGTCATTCGTAAATTGATTCTGATGCCTTTTTGTTAACCCGCTGCCATCTACAATGATAATGTTCTGCTTATTGTTTCAATGAAATTCGTCCAATATTTTTACAGTTTATCATCTTTCTACTACTACATCTGAATGTGTGACCGTTAGCAAAATTAATTTTATTTTTGTAACATAGCCGTCCGATTTTTTAAATTATTCCATAAATCTTTTTCTAATATCTTTTTGATTCACTTCCTACTTGACCTGAATTATCTCACTTGCTTTTTGAGTTATTTTAATGAACTTACCTTACATACATACCGGTATATATATAAATATGTATTAGTTTACGTTCTTTTATGTAATGTTTCTTGCGTGGAGAACAAACGTTTTTTCCACGGTAATGTGCCATTAAACAGATTTATCGTTTCGTATCATCAAAGCCACATTATGCTCCAATACCTCACTAAAACTTTTTTTCTTTTAACAATCTATTTACAAAATATATGTGTGCATAGTTCAATATGTTTTTCTCTTTTTATGGAACGTATCAAGCTGTCTGTACATTTGTAAATAATATATAAAAACTTTTAGAAGTTATTTAACAATTTAACTTTACCTTCTGTCGTTTGTTTTTCGTTCCAAATGACTTTCAGGTAAGTATCGCATTACTGCAGTTCCGTCTAGGGAGCGATCTCTGTCGATTGCCTATAAATCTCTAGCTGATACATAAAACCGCCCAAGTCGACGAGTACGCCACTTGTACGCACACGTAACGTCGTACACGCGTTGTATGTGTGATATCACAGGTACAACCGATGGACGAAATGTACATCACTCGTACACCGGCGTACGGTTAAAAATGCTTCATTAGAGAGAGCAAAGACCAAACGAGGGCGATTGACTTAAGGGGAAAATAAAAAGTAAACAAAAAAGACAAATAAAATGAACATTATTTTAGGCGAACTAGAGAAAACAATTTCTGGAAAAAATTTGGCTGCTGAATTTATTTTGTCTTTAGGTTGTTTACTTACTGTTTTGTCAGCTCCTAAACTTGATTATTGTTGTGCCTTGTATGACAGTTCGTTTCCACCAAAAGAATGTCCTAAAAACTTTCAGAGTATCTTTTCGGGCACATACTTCTCATAGGGAGATACAGCGAAGGTGTTTTCTCTCTATACTATTATATTTTTGATTAATGCGTAATTTGAGCAAATTTCGACAGACGCATTTTCTCTTCAAGGTTAAATTACATTTACATTCAAAATATCAACAATTCTTTCCCTGAAAACAGCGTAAAACGACTCATAAGGATATTAGTAATACACAACACGATCTTCATTTTCTGGTGGTTTTTCAGCAATTTTCTACGACGATGTTTCTTGGCATTCAACTGGATCCACTAAAGCCATTACTTTTTCATTTCGATCATTATCTACACTTGGATTCCGATTAACACTATCTTTTTCTGATGACAAGTTTCTGTACGAACAGCACATATGTTTCGAAAAGCCTGCACAGTACGACACGTTTTATTACATATTGCGCAGCGTACAATAAAATTTTTGTTCATGCTGTGTATTTGGACATGTTCTATTTTCAAATATGGCGTTGAAAACTAACATGCTGTGCATTTGTAGTCAGTATCACTAATTGATATAATCTAAAAAGAAGTAACAGAATAGTTGCTGAGAAATGGTGCTCGCGATTTTATAGACATTCGGTCAATGCAGAGTACTGTTCATTTTTAAACCTACACAAAAAGAAGTTTAAGTTCACACGTCTTATTTCAGCCCAAGATAACAAAACAAAATGAAGCTTATATAAACGGGTACTTCTGACATAGAAAAACACCCTAAAAGGGGCTCGTTTCACGAGAAAACTTGAGTCTGATTTAAGTACATGACTCAAGTCAAAGATAAGTCGAACTTAAATGAAACTTAGTTTTTGACTTAAGTGTGTTTCACAAACGACAGGTTTAGTCAGACTTAGCAGTTAAAGAAAAAGTTTGAAGAAAGTTAAGCAAGAACTTAACTTCAACCTAAGTCAAAAATCAGACTTAAGTATTTTCGTGAAACGAGCCCCAGGTTTATTTCTTTCCCAACATCTAACTCGTTAAAAATAAACTTTTCTATGTTCCTCTGCTATCCGCTTTTTTCCAGCGTCAGTATCGTTTCAGTCGCTTACACGTCTGTCGCTATCGACCCAGTCGCTTTTGTACCTACTATTGTCGTGCCAGTCGCTTTTTCGACTGGTTGGCCACTTGCCAAAGCGTTTGTCATGATTTACAGTGCATACAGTCATATAGCATTATGAAACCTACAAATGAAAAAAAAAGCGTAAAAGAATCATGATATAGCATCATGGTCATATTGGAATGCCGGTATGATAATGATACATTTTTAACATGATAATAATACACTTTCTCGTATGGATCAAACGAAGTAGCTGTTGTTTTTTGATACAACAAAAACCAACTCAGTCGTTGCTTCTTTTCAAAAACACGCAGCAGCAGCCAGTAAAATTTCGCGCTCAGTCATTGTCCCACATAGTGATCTATTGAAAAGATTTCATGTAAATTATTTAGCGCAACATGAAATATGCGTCTGCGATTCTCAGAGCACATTTGTAATTAAGTCTTTTCGATAGGCGGTGTGCAGTATTTTGACTAGTCTCGAAAACAACTTCTTATCTAACTGTCTGTTATGTAAAAGTAGAATGTGTCTATTGTCGTAGATTTAAAATATTTTTGAGAGGAATGCTTCAGACATCACCGGATTTCTTATCAACACCCCTAATAATTCCAGTTGAAGCAATATTAAATGTTATTGGTCGTAATTATGATGAACAAATTAATTTAACATCAAGATATAATCAGGTAAACTTTTTTCGTGTTTAAAGATTCAGGTATATCGACTCTTCCGCGAACAACGTTTCCGCGAATGAAATTCTTTCATAGTCATTCTCACGCTACTTAGTGGCATCACATCTCAATTCGCAGAAGAGTCGTTTCGCTGAAAAGTCGTGTCACGAAAGATTAAAATTTTATCGATGCTTAATTAGCCAATTACAGTCAATTTCAAAAGAAAAATCTAAAGTGCTTTTGTATGTTTGAATCTGTTCTCGAATGATAAAACCATCATTGGAAGATCAGATCATTTGAAGAAAGTCTAAGTAATGTTTCGATTTTTAGTCACTTATAAAATTTTCATGTTCAAAACATCGTCTCAAAATTTTGCCTTTCGAGTTCGCTTGGATTTGGACAAATCTGCCATTGAATTCGAATACCGAAACCTTTTTTGAACATTGAATGAAAAAGTCTGACGTCCAACAAGAAATCGCTGGATCCGTGCAGGTCCAGAATATTTTGGAGGAGAAATAGATGGTTATTGATTTTCAAAGACATAGAACCTGCTATTTCCGTAATATAAAATCGTTTCTTAGGCATTAATAGTCTTATTTCTTTCTTTCTGGCGTTATTACGCAACCGTAAGAGACGAATTCCGATTATTGATGGTCAAACCCGTATATATCAAACAAATTCAAATTTATATCATAAATTAAATGATCGAATACGTGTGAGTCGGCCGGACCAAGTTTGCGCATATTCACCTCAAAAACCATTTGTACATTCAACAAATGGTAAAAATCCCAATTATTATGGTATGCGTACAATTATATTTGGTCGAAATAATAAAATTGATTACAATAACAATACAAATGAACAACTGCCAACCACTCCACTCGATTTTACACACGAAGAATTTAATAATGATTCATTATCAGCAACACCAATAATTACTGATCCTCCTATATCTATTACACCTACGGTTTATATAGCCGAACATCATGATTCAACAACTTCTGCTACTTTAAAACATTTTCATGAATTCAATCAGCAAAATTCAATGGAAAAAAAAGATTCCGATAAACAACTGAGACGAACAAATATACCACGTAAATATCGTTATGCTAATCTAGAAGCAACAAAATTTTTAATATGCACATACTGTCAACTCCAATTTAAAACTAAAACACAATTATATTGTCATACAGCTAAATGTCAATATGAAACATCAATAAAAATGAACAAAACTCAGAATACAATAACAAAAAATGCTCAACTGTACGTATAAGAACACAGCACCTCACTGAAGCAAACGAGAATAGTGTTACAGATAAAGTTTTCAATAGACATTAGTCTTGAGTAGTCCGTGCAGTTGTCAATCTACGGAAATCTTAATAACAAGATTTATTTTCTCTAATATACGCTAATAGCTATTGAGAGTTCATGCGAAATATCGTGTATAAACGTTTATTAAATGAAATAGTCCAATATATGGCATATGTATCTTTGTAGTTCTCAAGATATTCGACAAAAAAACTCGACACATTTTTCTGAAATATATTCAAACAATGAATCAACATCAAGTATTACCATGCTTAAGAAATTTGATAAACAAGAACAATTATCAACATTTGTTATACAATCATCATCGTTAGAAAATAACTCGTTTGAAATGAAAACTGAGAACACAAACAATGATAACAATGACGTTAAGATGAAAAATAAATTATCATCAAAAATGACAACATTAGATGAACAACAAAAATTGATTATAATTAAACCGCGATTAAAACGTAAAAAATCATTTGAAAAATATAGTAGTGATAAATATTATATATCATCCGATTATTCAAAGACTCGAATTAAATTTAGTAAGGATAAAGTATATGACGTTAAAAAACAAACAACACGAAGAACAAAGAAGAATATAAATCCTCAGGTAAAATTATTTTTAGGAATTTTTTTGTAAAAAATATTGTGAAATACTAATGAGCACATGAATAGAATTGAATCTTCTCTACTAATCCAATTTAGTACTTCCATTCTCATTATTCATTTCAGAATAGTCAAGATGATAGTGCAAAACAAAAATCAGCAGATGTGTGCGATATATGTCGTGATCTGAAAGATAAGAACACAATGGATTCTCTAACTGATGAATTAGTTATATGTAGCCAATGCAATCGTACTATGCACGCGTACAAGTGTTTAAAATTTTCAAATAATATTATCGTTCAAACAATAAAAACTTGTGAGTATTTTTTTATTTTCAACATTATGATGCAGCAAAGAATTTTCATAATTTTTTCTTTTTTTTTAAGATTCGTGGCAATGTCTCGAATGTAAATTATGTTTGGTCTGTGGTAATTCAGAAAATGATGAAAAATTATTAGTTTGTGATCAGTGTGATCGTGGTTACCACATGTACTGTTTGACACCACCGCTTAATAAAACACCTGATGGATATTGGCATTGTCAATTTTGTATGAATGACAGTAATAAAACAAATCCATAAAATAAACTAATTTATATTGAGGTACAAACAATTTGATCGATTGAACTTTCATGAGGATTAGTCTGATTTGTCAAATTCAATCTCGTTTTTCAACCCTTCGATTAATCAGATTAAATGATTATTTATCTCAGGTCGAATGGTATGTTATTTTGCTCTAAACATAGTCTACCATTTATTATAATTTGAATAGATTATCAGTAGCGTAGTAGTATCGTTGATTAATAATATGATACATTTTGTTTTTCTTTTCTTTTATTCTTTATTTTTTAAACTGTGCCACTTGAGAACGGTGGATAACAGTACGAGTTTCAGATAATAATGCTGATATTGACCCGGTTTTTGTTTTATTTATTCTTGATGGAAATTCTTTTGTTATATGTTATTACATTTACTTTTTATTCACACACTCTGATATAAATCTCGTAGGTTTATGTTCAACTGTGAATGATTATTTACAGCTATTTTTCCCATGAACTTTATGAAATTTTGGGATTATACGGTGTAGATCATGTCCATGAGTAGTCAGTTTACTTTTAAGTTGTGAATTTGTCTTTGTTTTTAATTATGTGATATTTAACTATACGTGCTATAAAAGTCAATATCTCCTGTTGCCGGTGTTTTATTTTTAGTTTTTAGTTAACATTTTATGTTTTTCTAGTGTACTCTTTTTTTGTCAGATGAAAAAGACATTAAATAAAAGAATTAATCGAAGGATTTGTTCTATTCAATGAAATACTTTTGAATTACTTAAAATAAATGTAAACGTTATGTTATATATAAATCTTCTTTGTAGATAATATATTACAATGATTGAACGATTTTTATATATATTTCCTCTTAGTGTGTGTATTTTAGTCCCTCTAGCCTATTTTCTATCGTAAGTATTTTATAAAACTATACCTTTTCTTAGAGTTGTTAACGATAAAACTAATTATTTTTTCTTTATTTTCTTTTTCTCATTTAGATATCTAGTTGCTGTACAACTCGGTCATACAAAAGTTGAATTTCCATTCATCAGGTAAGAATAAAAACTAGAACTCATTGCATCTTTTAGTTTCTCTTGATTCGCAAAAATCTCTTTCATTTCAAAAATCGCCTGTACAGACAGACAAGCAGCGCATCATCCTTGCCTCTCTCAGAAGAGAGTATCGTAACAATACTCGTTTCATCCAGAGTTTTTATTGTGTGTCTCAAAATATTTGTAACATTTATTTCACGCATATCTCTGCTTCAGCACCTCGTGAAATGTCAATTTCTTTTTAAAAGGATACATGATTCAAAGTTTTTACAAAAATTTATTGAATGTATTGTGAAGGTATATGAAACTAAATTTCTACAGAACAAACAATAATACTGAGTAAACTGAATTTATTTACTAATGATTTCTTCAGTTTTTTATAATCTATTTCTGATACTGAATAGAACCGTCAAAAAAAATTTAAGCTTTGTATTTCAACAGAGAACATGTGCTATTTTCAAACAACACACAGTACATTTTTAACAGTCAAGCTTTTGTCGTAGTAGAAATGGCATTAATTCAATTAGTTGTCTAAAAATTCCCAATCTCGAATGATTAGCTACTTGTCAGCTTTCTACAAATATTTATCCATTTTTTACGTGGTAGTGAAATGAATGTATCATTTTTGATAAGAAATGCTGATGAGGTTAATTGTGAAATAGGTGGGAATTTTACAACGATTTTTTTTAATATCTGCAATGATGAAGAAACATAGCAGTTTTTTTGTTTTGTAAAACAAATTAGTAAGAGCGAAGAAAAAATTGCATTCAAAAATGTCAAATATCAGTAATCAACAGAGCTACACACTAGATGGATTTTTACTAATAGTGTACTTATTCTTTGAGTGTCAAACAGAAAAGAATAAGAAAATAGATTTATTTCATTAGGTCATATGTATGTGATCTCGGACAATTTGGATTCTTATTATTTTAAAATACGTTCAACAGAAATTTTGTAGAAGACATGATAATACATCATACAGAATTGAATGATATATCTTTTCAGACAGAAATCGACGTTCTACGAGCCATTGAGGCAGAAATATACGTGAAACAAATAATATTGCAACTATTTTGAGATATCCTATAACTGATCGAAATTAAAAAAATCTCACAGAATAGTGCTAATTTTTATATAGGGAATTATAAGTGGATAATAAATTCATAGCCATTGTTTATCGAGGCCGTAATCAATTAGATTGATCTTATTATTATAACAAAACTTCAAGAAGTTGTTGCAGACTGGTACAATGTACATTTATTAATATAGTTCAATCTTTTATTTTAGCCAATCATCAACTGATTCACCAGAAAGTTGTATTTTTTCTCAAATAATCAATTTTACATCATTTGTCTGTGAGTATACATTTTGTTTTTATTTACGTTTTGTTTTATTTTTTCATATTCTATTTGTTTTAGTGGTAGTAACAATTTATATTCGTCATCGTCAAATATCTCAGTTGATTCGAAATAATCCAACATGTGGAAATAAATATACTTATACAAATCAAGCCTTTCTAATTTTTGGCATTTTAACAGCATTCGGCTTAAGTGTTGTGTCAAATTTTCCTGTGAGTATTTTATCTACTATATAAATTTATTTTTATTATTTTAATTTTATTTTTAGCATACAAATGTTTCTAATGTACGATTAGCCGGCGTATTTTTAATGTATATATCGAGTATTTGCTGTCTCTATTGTGAAATGTTACTCTCACTATGGATTCGTCCATTACTATATTACACAAATCTAATACCAATATTAAGAGTAATTATATGTATCATTGGAACGTTGGCATTACTTGGAGGTATTTTCATTGATCATACTCTTTTCTATATAAATAATTGAAATTTTTATTTCTGTTGTTTACGTTCATAACATTTATATTTATTTAGTGGTCATATTTCAAATGATAACTATTGTTAAATACGATAATGACAGAAAAACATGGTCATCTAAAGATCCGGTAACTAATCTTTATTAAAATAATATTCTATTTTAAATTAAATTAATTCTATTTATTTCAGGGTTGGACATATCATCTTACGACTACAATATGTGCATGGATCTTAACATCTTTATTACTCTTTTATATTTTAACATTTATTGTTGATTTTCGTCGAATTAAAATTATTTCACCAAAAATATTTCTTACACATGATATTGTTGATGTTATCGAGGATGTTTAATTATTTTTTTGTTTTTTTTTGATTATTTTTTATATGTGCAATTTAATCTTCCTTTAACCGTTCGATTTTACATTTTCTTTTTTTTTTGTATTTTATATCTATTTGAGCACGTCTATACATACAGTAGATTCAGTTACGATCTCTTTTATTTTTTCATTAATTTTGTTTTTGGTTATACATTTGTGTAGTTGATAGATAGATTTTTCCTCATTGTTGATTTTTAAAATGAATGTATTTCGAACATTGCACTTTTCACGTAACCGTCCAATGATCAAAACTTATTTTTCAGATTCTAAATCAGTATTATATCTGAGAAAAATTATTTGTATAGTAAAAAACCAGACGCGATAATTTCCATTTCTCATTAGAAGAACAGTTATCAAACTATTCAATGTCAATACTTCCTATTTTGCATTTCCCTTTTTCATTGTGATTTTGTACACAGTGATTTTGATTGTCTTTGATGAGAGTGACGAAAATTGAATCTTAATCAACAATCTTTGATAAAAAATAAAAATTTTTAAGAAAAAGACAGTGGCTGAAGAAAATTTTCATAGAAAATCTTAACAATCAAAAAAATATTTTGTACTTCCAAGATCTTTATCCTTCTCACTATTCGTTGTTTTGTGTCTGTATAACTTTTATGCATTTATTTTTATTGTATATATTATAAATGATTGTTAGTATGATGATATTTTCTTCGTGTTGTCTGCCTTTAGTCATGATCTCTCTCTCTGTTTCTTAAAAATATTTTCCAGTGTTCTTATTGACTCTTGAACATTTTATTGAAAAATAATTCTATTCTATTTGTACAATTGTAATTATGATCAAAAAATAAAATTTATGAAATGAACACTAAGAATCGAGTGTGTATATAGGATACATAATAGTCCCATGTAAAATACACCTGTTTTAATATATATATATATATATTAACATTTGATATATATTTTTCATATTGCATTCGAAGAAAACGTAGAACAAATCCATAATTCTTTTTTTAATTTTTAATTTTGTAAATTTTACATTTATCCGAACGTTTTCTGATAATCTGTGTTTTTCACATAATGATATTCAATGTATTTTATATATTTTGAGCAGAACTTTACACTCTAAATAAGTATTCAATACAATATAGGGTTGCCACTAGATATGCATCGATTTCAATTAAAAATCGAATAATCAATATTCCATTACTCGAAATCGAGAATGATCGACCATTCATTATTTAAGTTTTAATCAAAATTGATGCATGTCTATAGCGACAAGGAAAAATGTTTTTATATGTGAAAAATAAGAACTCATAACTTCACCAATATTGTACCAAAACTTTTATTTTCTATAGAAATAAGACCTTTCATCACCCAAGAGTCTCGGTCTTGGTACATGTCTATAAATAAGCAGGTAGGTTGTTTTCATAGATCATTGATTTTTAATCGAAAAAACTTGAATAATCAATGTTCGATTATTTTCGATTTCAAACAATCGAAGTTCGATTATTCGAAATCGATGCATGCCTAATTGCCACCTAGAGTGGATAAAAAGGTGGGAAAAACGCTTTTGTCTCTTTGAAAATTTTTCAAATTAATAACCTTTATTTTAGGGATAAGTTTATGTTTACTCAACGTACGGATTTATTTGTGACAAAAAAAAAGATGGGAAAAGGTGAATGCTGATTGCGTGTATACAGGCAGAATATTTCTCACAATGTTAAAAAACATGTTTGTTTGTTACCTTCATTCATAAAAATTTGGCTGCGTAGTTCAGTGACCTAACGGCTTACCATCGAACATGTTCGGACGAAGATTGCAAATATGATAGTTTATGTTTTTCTCATCGGAGATATTAGCGAACGCTCTGCTGAGAAAATATTAGGACAAAGTACCATAAACGTTATAAAGATACATTTGAATTAGGGCTGCAACTTTCTGTCTACTAGGGGTGTGACAGTTCCAGTTTCTATAGTTCCTAAGAATTGGTCACCAGTTCAGTTCCTGTTGAACGGGAACTGGTTTTTCAAGAATTCGAAATAAAGTAAAACCGATGTAGCTAGTTATATTGACTTGGTTTAGTCGACTAAACACACCAGCTATCTCGGGTGCACTATACAAAGTCAATGTAAGTAGGTTCATCGGTTTTATTTCAATTTTAATTTTTTGAAAAGAACTGGTACCAGTTGCCGTGCAAAGAACTGAACTGAAACTGTCCTATCCCTACTGTCTACTTTATTTAAACAGTGAAATAAAGCATTTTTGCATCAAAACAAAGTAAATTAACAAATATAAAGTTGCTGCTCTAATTCAAACTTTTCTTTACATGGCTACCTACTGCTACGGCATAATCATGGCTGTTCCTTCGTTTAGTGTAATCTCCACCATTTTTTCCATTTTACAGGGATTTCTTTGATGTGTTTTTTCACTCTTGTGTTCTTAGTTTTGACAAACTATTTTTTTTAAACCCTCGGTAGCGAACCGTTCACTATCGATCAGCAAATCCTAGCTTGGGATTATTGAATGCCTAGTTCGTAGTCGGTATTTATACTCAAAAGATATTCTCACTACCTTGCAGAGACTTATTCAGTATTTCGGTATCTTGGATTCAGTACATCCATTAAGATATTTGTCGTTCTCTCCATTCTACAATTATATTTCAATATCATTATAGTATTTATGAACAGCGAAGTCCACTTTTTTACAAATATGATTGTTAATGATTTACATCACAAAAAATAGAATTATTCAAAGTTAATTCTAACAGTGCAATATGAAATTTTTGGCCAAGTCTGGTTGTCTCAGAAAAGTAATCGATGAAGTTAGAAGATTGTATAATTCAATTGAGCTACTGTGCAGTACAATTCATCGTAAATGTATTGACTTTATTTGATTGTTAGGAATATTTCATATAACTAGACAAAATAAGCCTTGAACACTTATTGATCAATTAATCATATTTTTTTGATAAAGAAGAGAACCAAACATACAGTTATCGAACAACTTTATATTTTCGAGTGGTAAAAGAACAGTAAAAACACTCTCATTTTCTAATATGACATCAACTTATAGTAGAAAATGAGATCATCACTCAAAAGAAAAATCGATGACAATATCCAATGAATACAAGAATTATCTGTACGATGCAAAAAACAAAAATAGAATTTTGCAATGGTATTTTCTCCATGGAGGAAGAGACTAGAAAAATTGTTTTTTTACATCACTATATAGAAAACGCAGAAAAAGTGCATCTAGTACTAATAATGCCAGTGAAATATTGCGCTTTTAAAAGTGCACACGCACATGCCTTTTTTCGACTCTACTTAATGCATGTCTAAAGTTTTTCTTTATAAACGATTTAAAGAGAAATACAATTTTACATAAAATAAACTAATTAGTTTATGACTTCCTAAAATAATCATCAGATCAACATGAATCTTTTTCATTAGCCTAAATTCTTTCAACTATTTTTGGCGCTCTTAAACGTGGTGAATTAATCCTCAGAGGTAGATCGAAATCAGGCTAATATTTCAATGACATTACTATTACTAGATGCAGTTTTTTCTGCTTTTTCTAATATTTGAAAGTGATTTTAAACTTAAAAGTCTTCACAATGTAAACACTCTACTGTTTAAAAGTGTTATTTTCATCTTCGACTCGAGAATTTTCCCTTCCAAATAATATGAAAGTTTTGTATTCATCTGTCGAAGGAATATTTCAATAAATGGGAAAGCTAAAAAAATAATTTGGTTCATAAAACATGTTCTTGTATATCGAAGCCATCTGATAGAAATGGACAATTAAGCGTAAATAAAGCACAGACTTAGACTTATTTAAGGGTAGAAAAAGAATTTTCTAGTCCCTTCCTACATGGAGAAAATACCATTGCAAAATTCTTTTTTTTGCATCGTACATATAAGTTTTGTATTCACTATATTATATAGTATATGAGCTACATTAAAAGAGTGTATAATATTTCAGAAAGGAGAAACTACAGTTTACGTTGTCAAAAAGATTTTCTGCGCACCAAGCATAAATCAGAGATATTTCGCGTTTAATAACTTCCAATTATGATTGTTACTTTTCTTGATTTTTCTTAATCCATCTATAATCCTCTTTATACATTTTCAACAGAAAAAGGATTTAAAAACGAATTGAAAGAGCGATGAAGGTATGTACATTTCTTGTATCATTTTGTATTATTCAATTAGTGATATATCATGAGTGAAATAATTGCCCTTCTAATTTTTCAATCGGATGTTGTATTAATCATGACTAGAGATCTTCACGGGCACGGGAATTCTCGTGACCTCCGGCATCCCCGTACTGTCCGCGAGCATCGACGAGCAACTGCTCTCTTGTACGAGCAGAGATCTTACAAAAAAGAACTACACCACGTCTATGATCCATCAACGAGAAAAAATGTTTTTTTCTGCATGAGCAAATACGGACAGGCATCCTGGACAAGGACTACGGGCAAAAAAATCTTACTCGTGCAGATCTCTAATCATGACCTAAAAGCACAATCGTTTAATAGCATGATTAGAGATAAATTTAAAATCGGAGACGTATAGGTAGCGGTGAACGTAAGAGAATATTAAAAATTATTTTTCTTAGTAAGATAGGGAAGAACTGTACCTTTGATAGGTGGAGATTGAAGAATAAGCATGATCTTCAAGAAGTATTCATTCATTTTTTGTTCGATCAAAATAAATATAAAAGATCATGAATACGAGTATAGTATATGAAACTATGATACATTTTTTGAGAAAATAAAATTATTTTTCTATAGATATGCATAGTCAGTTCAGCATTTCCGATTAGAGCCATGATTTTTTAATGTTAAAAATCTTTTATGAATTTTCTGTTGAACTTTTTCGTCTTTTTTCGAGTGTCAACCAACATTTTTTTACTTTCCGTCTTTGACTGAAAACAATCGGAAATTCTGAGTCATTCTCGTCATGTGACAGTATATTACAGACTATAATACGGATGAATTGATCATATGAG